ATTTTTGTCGTCTCATGACTCAAAAAACTAATTTAACATCTTTTATAGGAAAATCTTAAACTTATAACTTTATCTGTCTTCACTAATGTTAAAAAATGAGTGAAAAACCTTCTAATGTCAAAGAGAGCTATTTGAATTAAGAAGAGATTGATAGAAATTAAAAATAAATTGAAAGTCTTACATTAAATAAAAAATTATCCATGAAAAAACTTAGTATTAAATGAGAGGGAGATCTTAACCCTCCATTTTTTGCATATATAAAAAATAATGTATAAATAAAAATATTTTTTTCTCTTAATTTTAGTATATTTTATATATTTAATATTCCAAAATTTTGTATATATACAAAAATACTTATTTTGATACTTAACTTTTTCTTAATTTGTGTTGAAAGTCTCAATTAATTAAGAATAAAATCAATTTACAATATTGATGAATATAAATATAATGTAAGTTTGTGAAATTAACTTAGATTTAAAATCTTATATAGATTTATAAAACTGACTTAGATTTAAAATTTATTTTTTTATCATATGTAAGAGAAAATAATAAACAACACAAATAAAAGTAACTGATAAATTTATTATTTAAATATTTTAGATTAAAAATGATATTTAACTCTTAAAGAGGCCTGATAATTTCTTGCCTTGTGATTCAATGCTTAAGAAGAAAACATTAGTTAAAACCGTAAAAAACCTATTATGACCTAAATTAAAACGAAAATATAACAAGTGACACTTAAATGTAGTGGATTGAACACTAGAAGAGATATCGAGAAATAAATTCAACTCTAGCTTAATTAAACAATAATAATAAAAGTGAAAGAGTACAGAAGCAACATGATTACAATTGTAAAGTAGACATTTTTCAAATAAAGAGTCGGCCAACGCACCTACGACCGCTAAGAAATTGTTAACACGTTATTTTTTCCAGAAAATATATATGTTTCATTTAAAGTTATAGAGGTCTTTTTATGAATTTTTATAATAAATCATATGCTTCGATGCATAATTAAGAAAAAAATTTAAAATAAAAATATTTTAAAATTATATAACTTTAATTCAAACGTACACATCTAAAGACAACAATACAACATTTATTTATTTTGATATAGAATGTTTTTTCAAAGTCAGACGATCTCTTCAAAGACTCATTGAACGTAGCTGGTTCTAACTGGTTTTCAAACTTTGTCTTGTTAATAGTTTATATCATTAGAAAAATACATGTACAAGATATTTTGACACTAAAATTAGATAGAATTTAAGTTAATAAGCTAGTTATTTTTCTTCTTGATATTATGAGGGTTTATAAGCTCTAAAATTACGTGAACTTCATCCAAAAAAGTGTAACATTCTGATTAGAAAATCACATAACAACATAGCAAATCTTTCAACAAGCACGGTTCCTTTAAGGATGATTTAAGTACACATGAATGTTCTGAGAGCAAAAACAATCAACAGTAGCTAGTGAAGCTTAATGACATAGGAGAGTGGGAGAGATAAGAGGAAAAGTGGAAAACTGTGCCTGGGTCAACTATTGCCATTTTAAATTTAAATTATTATAATAATAAAATTAATAAAAAAGAATTTTGGTGAAATTGTTTAAATTTAATTTTTTTTATCTTAATAATTAAATTTAGTATAAAATTCTTAACCCACAAAACTTTTTCTTATAAATTAAATAAATTAAATTAGAGAAACCGATGAAAGCAATAATACTTCGACACAAGAAAAAGACAAAACACACTCACGCTCAAATAATAATATTTTAATTATAATTATATTACTTTTTTAATTTAAAATCATAATTATATTATTATATTATTAAAAGTTTTTTTTCCTGTGAAACTAATTTTTTTTCAACCGATGAAATATATTCTTATATTACATGCATTCGCTAAGGTGGTTGTCAAGAAAATCAATTTCACTTTAGAGACTAGTCATTATTTTTAACAAAAAGATCTACGTAAAGATTTCTCATTTAATCGTAGATTAATCAGTCAAGACATAATCGATCGGTTTACAATTTATATAAATAAAAAATTCAAGTAAGATATTGTCGAGAAAAGAAATATGTATTTTAGCCAAACTAATTTGTATTTAAGAGGATTATTTTAAAAATTGTTTTTCTATTTATTTTTTTCATTTCATTTCTCTTAAATCAATTTCATAAAAAATATTAATCCAATTTATCCCTTTTATAATTTTATAATTTTAACAATCGATCTTGTACACTCAGTAATCTCACGTTAAAATCAATACCAGAAATTTAAATATTTTTTCCTTCTTTAACTTTCCAAAATATATTTTAAAGATAAAATCGAGATAAAGTTCTAAATTCCAAATGATCAATACTATTTGGAATATTGGTATAGGCTATAAAAAATGAAAACGATTTCTCTTAATCCTTTATGATGAACCCCTGTTTGAAGAAGATATTTACTAGGATCATTACTGCTAATTAAGGTATCTTTCCTTAAAAAAAATTTGTCTCCTTATTATTATTATACATAATTTAACCAAAAATCTAATTTATTTCACTGTACATTATGATATATGAATAAGTTTAGAACCTTCAATAATTTTAGGAGTTTTTCACTTTACAAACGTTTGCTGCTCTAAGTTTTGTGTATATTATTCTTATAAACGGGAGGAACTTTATTTTAGTGCTTATTATGTACTGGGTCTTACATATTACATTATTAATTTGATTCCTATATCAGTTATGAGTGAAATATAAATATGCTTACTCTTCTGTAAAAAAGAATCTGATCTAACTAAACGTCACTACTTTCAGTGCTAATCCAAACGATATCAGAGTTTTTATTATTGTTAAAGAAGCAGAAAGTTTTTGAAACGTGTCGAATGATATTATATCAGCATAGGTAGTACCTATAATTAACAAAAGAAAGCATGATGAAGGATCAGAAAAGGGTAAAATAAAACATATATTCTCCGTAGAGCTTTATTCTGTCAACGCCACTGATTTGAATATAAACTAAGTAGAAGTGATGATTAATAATGAATGAGCTAAAAGCATCTGAGCAAGCAGCACTTTGTCTTTTGGTTTTTCTCCACTAATATAGCTTCTTCTGATACATTGAATGCAGACATGTTTTCAAGACAACTCTAAATTTGAACGAGAGACAACTCAATGACATCCAACCACATATACTTTTGTTGCTTAAAGATTACACACTCATTCGTGAGTTTTCTTAGGATACTGTCTCCATAATCATCTATAATCACTTTTATTAACTCTTTTCAGAAGTTTTCCAAAAAAATATAGTATTTTTATTTGTTTTTTAAGCTAGAAGAAATTTAAAATCATAAGGTAATGTGTGGATTAAATTTAGAACCCCGCACCTAACCCCATTTCTCTTTATTCTTTCTTTCTTCTTCTTTTTTCATACAAGTTTTTTTTTCATTTTCTATAGATATTCTCTTCTATCTCTCTTAAAATTTTACTTCGATTTTACTTTTTTTTACAACATCAAACATATTTCAATTAATAGTAAATGTCTTTTTATTCTGAGAAATTTTCAATTCCTTTTTCTACTTACAATTAAACTTGATTTTGGTTTTGTTAAGTGTGGAAAGCATTGAATATCAAATGTGTAAATTTATTTTCACATGGGTTGAAAATTTTCAAATGGTTCTTCTTAGGTGAAAAAATGTGATATTTTTAGGAAGCTAAATTTTATAACTTTGAGAATTGATTGTCAGTGAAAGTCAATAAGAAATCTATTTATGGAAGATTTTCTAACTCTTAAATAAATAAGAACCGGAAAAAAAAAAGCTATAGAATATAAATATTGATAAATAAGAGAATTGAGAAAATACTTTATGATGAATTAGTTTGTATTTAAAAGTCTTTTCAAGTTTAAGCCGAAGTTTTTAAAAGATATCCAAATAAATAAGAGATATGTAACGATATAGCTTAATCTTTTTTTTTATGTATGGATGAGTTGTGAGACATATTAGTGGGATAAATCAATTTTTTAGTTTAAGTGTGTAAGGATATATTTTATTTACAAATAAAAGTTGTGTCATTGAAATAATCAAGGTATAATTGATGTCACCTTATTTCGATATCAGTTATCATTAGATAAAAAATAAAAAATTGATAATTAAGATATAACTTTTTTAACTTAACTTAAAATATCACAAATCAAGTTGTCATTATTCAATTTTGATTTAGCTCAATTGATATATGACAATTGATGTTACCTAAAGAGGTAAATTTATAGAATTTCATCATTAATTATCAGGGGTAAAGCTATATTTTGTAATAATGTACAAAGTTAGATAACTTTGAGCATAGTGAGATTCCAAGTTCAAATTGATAATCTTAAAATCACCTAGATGATGAATATATTAGGTGATGGGAACAATTAAAGTTTCTACTAGATTAAAATAAGTCTCGATTTTCATAAACTACCTCGTTAGTAATCTAAATTGAAGCGAGAAGTCACATGATAGCCAAATACATTAATAGATTACTAGATAAGTATTAGTATAAGATGTTAATACTCAATGCAATCTTTTGAAAGTTAACATATTTATATGATTTGTGTTGAATTAATGAAATGAGTTAGATGAGTGCTGGTGAAGTAATTTCGAATGATTATTTATTTTTGTGCACCGATTAATTTTAGTTATATTACTATGCATTATTTTCTTGATCTATTAAAATTCTGACGAGTATATGAAGCTGTGGGATTTAGAACATCAATAAATAGGTAAAAAGTTGTTTAATTATTTTTTGTCTTTAGATTTTTCTTTTAATTTTAAATATAATGTCTTTGAAGGATTAATTGAGTTAAAACAAAAACTTTCCAAATACATTATGGTTTTAAAAAATAGTTATAAATATAGTATCTTTTACGTATATGAAAGATGAATGAATATTAAATATGAACGGTAAAGATTTGTTAGCTAACATTATTAAAATTTTGAAATATTTGTGATGAAATTAATAATAACTAACAAACGTTTGACCATTTGCTGGAGATAAAAAGAAAACAAAAGAAAACCAATTGTTGTTGGTCATACAGCAACCATTTTAGTCGCAACACAAGCATCCACTGCTTCCACCACAGAAAGGAAAACCCTTCCTCCAATTTTGCTGACGAAATTAGCTAATCTTAGCTTGTGAATTACATGCCACCTAGGGTTAGCGATAGCTAACTGAAATAAAAGTGACACAAGGAGTTAATCATACTTTAACAACATTTTTTTGACAACATTTTAACATTATCTACATGTTATTCTGTGATTGATTCATGTTGGTGTTTATGATTATTATTATTGATTGTAGAGTAATTTTAGACCAATCATAGAATGACACGTAGATGATGTTAAAATGTTGTCAAAAAAATGTTCTTAAAGTATATTATCCTAATACATAAGGTAGAAAATAGATATTTTTATATTACAATACTGTATGAAAATGTAAAAAAATCTGTTATTGCAAGGTGCATGAATTAAAAAACCAACCTTTATTCCGCGTGAAGCCATATTCTTATTGAGCTCTACCAGACAAGCAATTCCAGTGGTGTCAATGTTGGTAAGACCTATTGATGATTACGTTAGAGCAACCTTAAATTTCGTGGAAGATGATATGTTAGATAGTACTCACTTGAGGCATCTATGATGAGGTGATGGAATGTGTTTTGTCCTGGTCTGCCATGCTTATAAGCTTTTTCATCGGTCATCCATCTCTCAATCCTTTGAATATATAATGTGAAGTGAGATTTTGAGTAATGTATGAAAGAAGGAAAGTGAAAAGCAGATTTTGTACATTTCTTCCACAAGATTTGCATTTGCAAAACAAAGCCATGCAGATTTTAGAGAGACGATGAAAACTCCGGGAGTGTTGAGTGCCATTGGATACTGTTGAACATCGCCGAATGAATCGGTTCCTGGAAGCCTTCCAATAACCGCTATAGCAGGTTGAATTGAGGTTACAATTATCTTCGCGAATGAAACCGTTATCTGCACTACAATTTATGTACTCACATCAACCAATATATAATACTGCATGTAATTAGTCCTATTAGGGCAATATATCATTTAAAAATTACCATTTTAGTTTCTCTATTGTATATGATAAATGCTTATTTCATATAATTAAAACTAATTACCAGTAATTATAAAAAAAATCTTTTTAAACTTACTAGTTGTTTAAAAAAACTATGACTTCAATTTACTTGACATGCACAGTTCCTATACAAAGTGTGTACGCATCTAGTTCTAAGAAAGAAAATGAAAAAAAAAAATGAATTCATGTTATTGTTAATTAAAATAACGAATTTAACAATTTCATTTGTCTTATGAATTAGTCATTTGTTTCTTATGTGTGTGGGAGAATGAGACAGGGAGGTAGTATTTTATATTTATAATGAAACTGTATTAAATTATTGACAAAAAAATGTTAAAAAAATAATGAAAATTCAATTTTGAAGTATAGAGATAAGATTAGGCAAATTAAAAGAGAGAAACAACACTATAAAGATCGTGAATTCAAATAAAGATAATAAAACAAGTAGTTTGATATAATTAGGAGAAAAATAAATTTTTGCTAGCTCCAGGACAATGTGTAAAACACACATTTTGAAAATATATTAAGAATTTCTAATTAAAACAGTAGAGAGAATACAAAATTTATTTTCTAAATTATGTATTCAATTTATGATATATAGTATATAATAAATGTCATCGTGTAAATGTAATAGTTTTCATTCAAGGTAGATGTGAATTAGTTTAGGTTTAGACTTCAAATTTTCAAATCTAAAACTTGACTAATTTACCGAGTATTAGAATGAAAAATTGGATGAATACAAAACTTTCATATATATTTGTACAATGGATTGAAAAATTCATTTTTATCTATTAAACATTTGATTTATTTATTAAAAGCCTAATCAATCCATTAACTGTTTTATGGATTTTAATCCAATCATACGAATAATATAATGAAAAAATTAAAATATATTTTTAAAACAATAAGTTAAAAAATTGCAAAAAATATATTTTTTTTAATTTTTAAAAAATGTAAATTTAAGAAAAACAATTATGAAAAGAAAAAAAACTTGTTAACTTAAGTAACCTCTTAAAGATACCAAAATTTAGTTGACAAAAATACCCTCATATAACACATGGATATTATAATAATTTTAATTTTTAATTTAAAATAAAAAATAAATGAAAATAAAAAAGTATTCAAATACTCTTAATCTTAAAACTTAGAATATTACAATGAGAGTATTTTTGTCAACTAAATTTTAGTATACTTTAAGAGATTATACAAGTTAGCAAACCCTTTGTTATGAAAATAATTTTTGTTCATAAAGTATTGGTTAAAATATTCACTATATTTTTGTATTGATAATGGATATATTTTATTTAACCATTTTTTAAATATTTTTGTGATATCAGGTGAGTGATGGATAAATAGATTTCTCTCACCTTCAAGTCTCAACCTTTTTAAAAGAAAAGATTATATAGTTTTGAAAGCTTTAAATAGGCCAAGTTTATATAATAACAATAATTACATTGTTATTATTATTTAAACGAAGCTTTTTCAGCTAAATATATTTTTTTCAAATATGCTCTTAAATTAAGACACACATCATCACCATGGGCTAGATTTATATTTTAAAGGCTAAAATACTCTAGGCACTGAAACATTAATCTCTACTGTTAAAGAGGAAGATGAACTACCTTTTTGGGTCAACTTTCTTTTATGGTTAATTTAAAAAAGATATTCAATAATAAATTAGCATTTTAATTTTTTATTTCAAAATAGTCAAAAGACAACAAGAGACCCTCTTCGTTAACTTTAAGCTACTTTTTAAATAAAGTATCTATTCTATGTAAAAGTAACGAGTTTTGACTTTTATTTTTTATAAAAAGTGTTTTGTTAAAAAACCTTGGAAATTTTATTTTTTATCTTTACTTTTAAATGACACTTTTTATGTTAACAAAAGGGTTAAAACCTAAGGTATAATATTAATGTATTTTTAAAAGAAAAAATCGAATCCCTAAAATGAATATTATTTATTTTAATAACATTAAACATTTGGTAATGAGGAGAGATATATTCGTGTATAATTTAATATTGTTGTATTGATGGTATGTATATGAATTATATATATTTGAAGATTTAATATATAAGTTAAAGAAAAATATACCCCAACTGCAAGGCCTATTTCTGCAGATGCAAACAAGACGCCGAAGAAGGCTCCAGCACAAGCAAGGAAATCCATTTTATCAACCTTCCAAATTTCAGACGCTTTGTTTAGGTCAATCAGTCCTGGTACAGCCGACAGAATTATTGCTGCTAAGATTGCTTTCGGAGTGAAATACAAAAGTCCTGTCAAAAATTTAAGCGACAACAGCACCGTCAGTGCCATCACTATGTTCGACACCATTGTTTCTGATCCAGCATTGTAGTTTACAGCAGTACGTGACAAAGACCCTGCATCGTTAATTTAAACTTCGTCATCACCAAACACTATTCTACATTCCTTTCTCTCAATACCAAAACACTCTACCTGATGCAATATAGCAAGAAGTTAAGGATCCAACAATGTTCATTATGCCCAATGATACCACTTCTCTGTTCGGATCAATGCTGTGTCCTTTTAGAGATGCAAATGATCGTCCAACAGCAATCGATCCCTATGGTTGCACAAAACAAAAGGGTATATTTATACCATATTTAATCTTAATAATAATACAAATATGAATATGGGATACCTACCGTGATTGAAATAATAGCAATGGTCAAGCCTATTCTGATCAAATGACCGACAACTTTGGTATCAAATGTTAACTGATTGAATGAGCTTGGATTCAAGCTACCCCCTCCTTTAATTGGTCCCAACACTTCAACTCTGTAGTCCTTCACATGAGCCTCGTCGACATTTATTTTGTACGCAATGATAGAGGATACGATAATTGAAAGAAGAGGAGCAACGTGTGACAACCAGATCAGTTTCTTGTTCCTTTTACCCTATGTTTGGATATGCAACAGTATAGTTTAGTGTAGTTTTCAACTTCTAGTGACATTCTTGTCCAAACGAGAAAAATAAGATAAAAGTAGCAGCAGTGCTTACCAGGAATCTGGCTAATAGGATGAAGCACAGAAATGAGAATCCAATGACGAAGTTGTAGGGATGCCACGCTGACTGCAAAAGAAAGAAATTAATAATGAACTTTGAGTTGTTATTAATTGAATGGAAGTGTATGATCTTACTTGGTTTCTGAAGGATGTCCAAAGAGATTTGAGCACGGAAAATAAAGCAGTTTTGTTGGTAAAGTTAACGATCCCAAATAATCCTTTCAATTGTTGTAGTCCAATGCCCACAGCAGCTGCTGCTAAGAACCCTAAGATCGTCGATTGGGAAATATATTCCACCAGGAAACCAAACCTGTAATAAGATGTCATACAGGTTCACCATAGCATAATGTTAAAGATATTTCATATCAATTAAAAATAGAATAAAATTATAAATAAATGTAAATTCAAATTTTTTTTATTAAATAAATACATCTAAATTTTACTCTACAAATCATTTCTTAATATATAATAATTTAATATCATCATTTAGTTTTATAGGCTAATTTCTCACACTTATAATTAATTATTGCCATGAAATTTCTAATATTTTAACATTAAATTTAAATATATGTCAAATAAATTTAAATATATGTCATCCTTCTATTGCTTTTTAATTTACAACTTATTAAAAAAATTAATAAAAACCTTACAGCTTGTTCGTCAGAATTTAGTTTTACGTGCGAAAAATCATATACATGACATAGTAGAAAATAACTCATGGATTTTTATTAATTTTTATTTAGAATCTACATACTGGCACCCTTAGAAGAATATACGGAATCCAGTCTTCTGATTGATACATGTAGTAGTTATCAGAATAAATTTGGTTTACACTTAGCAAGTTCTTTATTATTATATATTGTAAAAATATTAAAAAATGAATAGTGTTACAATATAATAATCCATGTTGAGGAACATAATAAAACGTTAGTAGAAAATATTGACCTTAGGTGCACTTGAATAGTTTCGAAATATATATTTTTATCATACTTTCTAGACTCTCTTTTTTTTTATGTATGCATTTTATAACTTCAGTAAAGTTTGTGAATAAGGTGACAACAGGTTGGACCTTCTCCTACATGTTCCTTCTATAGAGTTTATCTTAGTATCTACCTCGTTACCTGTTTTGCCATCTGCATAAAAATATTTCCGAGATTTTATAACTACCAATGGACATCTACAATTTTTTTTTAAGTTTTATTTGAAATTATTTAACAACAATTTTTTAAATATAAACCCAAATAAAAATTTAATCTTAAAATATTATTATCAAAATAAAATTATTTAGAGAAATATTAATATAAATAAATTTATTCTTTTAAAAAATAAGTTCAAATAAATTGATCAAAGTATAATTTCGAAAAATTAATATATTTTAGAACAAATTTAATTTTCTAAGTATAGAAAGAAAAATATAAAATTAACTATGTTAATATTACTCATAACTTTATTATGATTTTATTAAAATATATAAACACAAATTAATAACAATAAATAGAAAATTTGAAAACATAATATTCATGCTCATCCACAACCAAATAAATAATTAAAATACATATATCTATTATTTACTAATAACCACTAAAAAACCTATTTTATATAAAAATATCTTTCAGCAAACTTTTTATTCACACATAATTTATATATATATATATATATATATATATATATATATATCACTTTGTAATTAACAATGCAATGAAAAATAATTATGAAAAAATATACTTTGACATTTATATTCATTTAAAATTATTTGTATTTACTTTCTTTTTAAAATAAATAAAATTTATTTTTTTATGAATATTTTATGTTTATAATATGTCAAATTAATATAATTGTCAAATAAATATAATGATGTCTCACTAAATTCTTCATAATAATTATGAGGATATATAAGATAAGACACTTACCTAAAGAGGCCGAATGCAACTTGAAAGATGCCAGCAAAAAATGTCACAGTGAAAACAAGTTGAGTGTATCCATTAGAACCATCAATTGGAACTTTCAATGTCTGAATCATTGAAGAAAGTAGCAGTGAATCTACAGATCCAGGTCCAATCACTATTTCCCTTGAACTCGCTAGCAAAGCATAAATAAGAGGTGGTACAATTCCTGTATCTGTGAAAATCCATCGTCATCATCCACTCTTAGTATAATATATAATACTAAAACAACATTAATTTTACGACTCGTGTCTCAAACGTTTTAATGAAATCAATTATGCAACTTACAGAGGCCATATTCTGGACTTAGCTGCGCCAATGTTGCATTTCCCATACACTGCAACACCGACAAAGCCATCAATTTTAGTGGACTCAATGTATATATATATATATATATCTTGATATTATGAGAAATCACATTCAAATAACAGTGATATAGTTATAATCATAGTTAAGAAGACATTGTTTGAGATGAGCATTTATAGTATGGTGTCTGCATGTGTTGTGAACCTGAGGAATGGCGAAGATTGCAAGGGTTAGGCCGGCCATGAAATCGCACTTTAACTTTTGAGCATTGTAGTTTTGGAATGAAGCAAGAATGGGAAACAAGTTTTGGAAGAAAGCAAAAGCGCGTTTGGAAAAGGGCTGGTTCCTGAGAGAAGAGAATGTGTTTGGTTGAGGATGCGGTAAGAGGATGTCCTTGACGTTGTCGAGGACCTGACGCGGCATGGAGGGTGGATCTGGAGGATTTAACACCCACTGAGACCGACACATGCTGGTCTCAATGTCCAAAACCTCTTCTAACGTGGTTTTCTTCGAAGCTACCATCTCTGAGTTACTAGAGCTCCTGCACATTTCAGGAACCCAGTACTGTCAGAGAAGGTTCTTCAATTCTTCACTCTTTCTAACTTCTTTAAGGCGTATATTCTGCTTATTATATTCACAATCAAAGGCAAAAATGTTTGGACAAGGGAGTTCAATTGTTTCTTATTGTTTACTTAAATTTAGAATATGATTTATTTTGAAAGAAAATTAAACGAATATATCTATAAAAAAATCGTTTATTGTTAAATAAACTTTATAATATTATTATAGTAAATTATAAAAATGTCAAAATGAGTTTGCCATGGTTTTCCTTTTTATATATTATATATATGCATGCTAGCTGTGATAATGAGGCAGTAAAAAAAAGAAGTGAAAAGAATATACAGAAGCGGCGCAAATGAATCTAGTTAATTAATAGATTCTGTTGGAGCCATTATTTTAACAGTTTCGTGAATTGATATTTGTCTCCCAATTTAATGTTGAGGGCGATTACACATTAAATATATATATTTGTTTATTTATATTATCCCGTACTCGTGCTTAACGCGTTCTAATTAAAATAATAATTTTTAACGGTTTCGATAAAAAAAATGTTTACAAATTATATAATTAATAAGTATTTTTTATTTTTCCTGGTAAAAGGGCAAAAAAAAACTCATCTGTGGCTATCAATTATATTTAGTAAACAAGTGTTCAAATAAGGTATTGAAATGGGTTAATATTGTCCATGATTAATCATATGGTAAACTCGATTAAATTCATTAAAAAACTATTAACGAATTATGATTAATCATATGTAAATAATTAGTAAAACAGGCTGGCGTAATAATTCAGTGTGACTTAACAACAAGTACAAAAAGAATCTCGCAATAAGAAAATATCACTCATCATTAAAATAAAACTTATTTTCCTTCTTTGACAGCCGTTTCAGGTTAAATTAATATTAAAATGAAAATAATCGAAATTAAAAGGCAATCAATATTTGTGAATAATAAACATCATTTAATACTTTTTATTTGTAAGAGAAAAAAAATGAATATGTAAAGATAGTAAAATAAACTATTTTTCAATATGAATCTATATATTTGTCGCTATCAACATTAAGCAAAAAAGAAAAAGCATGTCCGTTCTTGATGCTGAAAGAAAAAAGGACCATAAAAAAAATATTAATCTATATTTTATTTTGTGGAGCGTGAATCTGCCTACTTAAGCAATTAAGGAGTCACTTGCGTGCTATAAACAGCCTTTTTTCCCACTAATTTATTTGTTCTTCAAATTCAATTGTGCTGGTGGATTAAATTAAGTATAATTGATTAATTAGAAACTTAATATGCTAACTTATATCATTTAAGCTTCATTTTGATAAACTGACTATATGAATATTAGGTTAATTGAATTTTTTCACCATAATTTATCAAATTAATTATTTTCATATGTGTGGCTTCAATTAATCAAATAAAACTCTTATACTGTAAAAGGAAAGAAAAAAGTATATTTAACCCTTCTAAACTTTAATTTTGTCTAAATTAATTTTCAAATTTGATCTCATTTACCAGTACATATTTTAAACTTTAATTTTATTCAAATTTAATAGTTTAATTTCATTATTTCTATAAGCATCGTTTAGAAAATTAATTTTATTCTTATTGATCTTTAACGTTTATTAAAATTTTAAAATATTTTTATAGGAAAAATAAAATTAATAATAAATCATTGAAATTAAACATATAGTATTTAACTAAGAAACATTCGAAAAAATAATTTTTAAAAAAATTGCAAGGTGTATATTTCTAAAAACGGTAAAATTTAGGGATAAATTATACATAACTAAATGTATAATATCGGTGTTAAATATTAATACAATATTTTAAAACTAAAAGAATAATAATTTATATTCTTAACACTGTATATCTTAACTATAGTGTAATCATTTGGTATTAAAATAATTTTGTTATAAATTTGTACTATTTTTTACTTAAATATTATTATAGAATGTACTATTTTTTTAAACATCTCTGTAAAATTGAAATTAAAATTAAAATAACAATTTAATAATATCTTAAAAAATAGTTTGTATTATAATTGTAATTAATATAACTTATTTAATATTATATTCAAAATTATTTTACTTTTAAGAAATATATTTCTGTAAAAATTATTTTATTATAATATTAATATGTCGTTTCAGTCACTTAAGTAACCCTTTTAAAAATAATGACATTCTCAGTGTTGTTAATAATTATTTTATTTTATTTTCTGAACGAGGTCAAATTGTTCTTTGTCTTTTCTGTTTTCAAACTATTCAACCTTTCGAGTTGAATTGGGCTTTTGGGCCTCCGAGCCCAACTTTCCACGTAGTAGTGTCCCAATTTCTTACGGGCTTACAAGAAAAGTGTTTCTATGAATATAGTTTTGAATACGCTTTCTAATTATTGTCCGTAATTGATTCAATATTATAAATTCAGGAAATATTTTTATTAAAGAAATTATAAGATTCATCAAATTTTATGATTTTCAATAAATTTAAGCAAGGAAAGAAAATGTGTTTTATTATTAGTATTTAAAATTATTATTACAGAAAATAAATTTTTTGGAGCAATTAAATTTATGATAATTTAAATTATCTAGACACTGAACTATAAACGATTAAAAATAAAATTAAGTTGTTTTCTGCTGTTAACAAATTGCATGTAATTTGTTAAAAGGTTGTAAAATCTTTCTCAAATGTTTACATATAAATATAATTTTACTATAATATTTGTATCTTCCTTTTGTTTATAAACTAATAAAGTCCATTTAGTTATGAAAATGATTTCCAAATAGCTTACCACGTGAAATAAAGTGGCATATATTTATTCTTTAAACATAAAGAGCAAATAATTGTGTCTTATATTATTTTTACGATATAAATATATTTTAAAAATTATCTTAACAAAATGAACTGAAAATTTAATTTGTTATATTACACAATAATCAAACTATTGTCATTTACCTAATTTTAAATTTCAAGGGGAATTAAAAACCTTATTAAGAAAATCTAACACGTAAAATATTGCATAACTGGTCTTTAGCCATTTTCATAAAATAATAATAATAATAATAATAAATTTTTCATGATTTATGGCTTAATAGACATTAACAATCATATTTTTCACGTTTTGGCTTTTAGCATACATATATCACATCTTCTAACGGAGGTTTCACCTTTCTGCGAGTGTAGGACAATTTTTCTATGTTTATCTCTATTAATTGTGACCATACCTTGTAATTAGATTATTCATTTAGGATCATGCTTACATCATACATCTTCAAATTTAACCATCACTATAATTGATTTTTCTGTGTCATCTTTTCAACTAAGATCTCCAAGAATTTTGATAAAGAAAAAAGAATATGAAACTATTGTTTCATACCTATAAGAAAATAGTTATATCCATGTCTTAAGCTTGTACTCGCCTATTTATTTACCAAATATTAAATAAATAATTAAAAAATAATAATAATAATAAAGAAACACATGATATTATAATATATTCATTGTCAAATATAAAAAAAAATTAAATCGTATAAATGTCAAATAAGAATATTAAGTAACAATTATATAAAGATCAACTAATTAAAAAATAAATAAAAAATATCAAATATATTTGAATTGAGTTAGAAAATTAAGAAAAAACAATTTAATTTAAATTTTTTAATCTATTAAATGGTGTTTCAGTAATGTAAATTGATGATAGTATATCATTAGAAAGTAATTTTTAAACCTAATCTAATCCCATAAAATCGGTTTGTAAGGTGAGATCAATTGAGTTAGGCTTTAAAACCACTTTCTAATTTATATATATATATATATATATATTAAAATGAATATGGAACGAGATAAATTGCATATGCACAATTTAAAAGATTAGGTATTACTTATAATAAAACAAAATTTTCTATCATGACATTTTTATATAATATTGTTCATATTAATTTATTTGTTATCTTTGATTTTTATAATATTTTACTCCTATAAATTAAAATTAAAATTTTAAAAAAGTTACAATAACTAATATTTTTATACAAATCTATAACTTAAATAATTATTAAATATTTTTATCCAATAATCATAATATAAGATTTGGAGTGGGACATGTTCTAAATCATCGGTTTCCATAGAGAAATAATGATATTTATATTGTTGGGTGGAGAAGAGTAGCTGAGAAAGTAAGAAACAACTGTGAATGACTGAATTTGATTAGAATGCAAATTTCTCGATTTCATAGAACATGAATCTTCTTATATGTCCAATCAACTTAATTTAATTTTCCTCGTCGTGTTTATCAAAATTTAACTAACCTTTAGGTAGAGAAACAAGCAAAATAAGTAAGATCCAACCACATTCATTAGTGTCACAGCCAAATCTTAAACAAGATTCCGCTCTTAGGGTATGTTTACTTTGAGGAGATGATTTGGGAGAGAGTGATTTGAGGGAATTTGAAGGTGAATGAGAATGGATTTGGAAATAAAGTTTATGAAAATTAATGTAAAATTTGACCGATGTGACAGATAAAAAAATGATTTAATTGGTAAAAATTGAATATTACCAAAATATCCTTAGTAGTAAAAATATTATATAAAATGATTATTATTATTAGAAGAAGAAAAATATAAAAATTATAAAATACAACAAAGACAACTATAAAAATTGGTTTAAATCCTTGCAAATGGTCTCATCTATATCATGATTGAAAACCAAATGCATCCCGCAATTTCCTTCTTTTTCATCTCCGCTAATCCATGGAAGTGAATGCAAGGAATCCTTCTTTTCCATGTGTGTGGATTCATGTGAACAAGAATTTCCTCCTAAGTGAACTAAGCGTCTAACTACAACAAATCATAAACCACAATACAACACTAACTTCTTTCAATCCCACAATATTTACACGTCCCATATGCACTGAAAAAAATTAAATGAAAATTAAGATTAAGAAAATGTTCTTTATTGACCAAAATTAACTAATTAAATAAAAATTTAGTGTTTTGTATTGACATTTCCTGAGATTGATTTAACTGATTTGTCCCATCTAAAGTAATTAGTTTACTTTTTTATATGATTTTTTTCCAATCAGACTCAATTTTCATTATGAAACCAATTCGTTGCCAGCATTGTCAACAATCTTTACTATCTTGATTGTTAACGCATTTAATGAGTTCCCACTATTTCTTTTTCCCGCTGATGTTGCCAATCTTAGAATATTACTTTATTAACACCATTTGCCATTACATTCCAAACCAGTATATTCCTAATATACCTCATCATTTGCCAGACAAAGCATATAATATTTTTTTCTTTTTTCATTATTATATATTATTATTATTATTTATAATTTGGTTAGTAGAATGAAAAGCAAGTTACATATTATACGTTTTTACAAATGAGGAACTTTATAAAACTATGCCAACTCATTCTCTTGACTTGTTTTTTTTTCTTTTTTTCCTAGCAATGTTATTGTAATAGCTAAGAAAGGACAAAGAGTTAAAGTAATTAATAAAGTAACAATACGGTTGTAAATATGTAATAATATTAGTATCTAATATCTTGATATTACTAGCTTTTACTTATCTTGAGGCCATATATCATTCTTAATTTCTGTTTAGCCAATTACTTTAGTAAGATATACATATGATAGAAAGAAAAGTGAATAAATTTTGTATAATATAATATGAGAAGAGAAATGAAAAAGAATGATAAATAACAGATCTTTATTAAAGAAAGAATGTATGTGTACATACATAATTGATCGTGTGCTGCCTATAACTTATATCATATCATGATAACAACTTGATCTCCACAATCAACGGTTGAGATGAGATCTTTCACTCATTTTACTTTTTTTTTGTTATAATTTAATTAAAACAATTTCATCTAAAGTAAGCATTAGGATTGACACCTCAAGTTTATCTTCCACCATTGCTTCTCACTCACACACACACTCACTCGTGCGTTCGTGCGTGTTGTGTCAAGTCTGAACTCAACTCCATTTTTCACACTCTATCTCTCTCTCATTGTTTCTTCGAAGCAGTGGTGTTCATATCTCTCCATGGGAAACATTTTCTAACACAAAACAACACGAGAGGAGGAGAGGAGGAAGAGGAAGGGCAAGAAGAAGAAGATATGCTGCTTGGAAAGCGCCCTCGCCCACCGATTATGAAACGAACTACCAGCATGAGTGGTGGCATGGCCGTGGAATTGCCGACGACCGACGAGGAACTCGTGTCTGATAACCCTCACCATGATCACGAGCCTAACATCAAAGTCGATCCACTTCTCGTTGCCATGGGAAGACATAATGAATCTGCGCCTGAAAATGTTTCTGAGGCCAAAGGGTCATCTTATGAATTATACGGGCAACGTTTGATGGGCATGGGCGTACCACTTTCCCCGACAACCTCAAATAACCCTCGTCACAGTCACAACCACACAACAAACACTGTCATAAACACTACTTCTCACTTTCTTCGGACTTGCGGCCTCTGCAAGTGTCGCTTGGCACCTGATCGACGAGACATCTATATGTATAGGTATGTGCATGAATATTGGGTTTTTACTTCTTTAAAGTTTATTACATACATAGCATAAGTTATCAAAGCAAAGTTTCAATTTTAATGGGAGAAGGACGCTGCTTAAAACACCTAGGAATATTAATTGTGTAGGTTCTTGTGATTGATTAATTTTGTGAGTGAATTTAAGAAAATGGTTTGGTTAATTTCAGGGGCGATACTGCATTTTGCAGCTTGGAGTGTAGGGAGAAGCAGATGAAGCAAGATCAGAGAAAAGAAAAGTGGAAGGCAGGGTCTAACAAGGAGCACCACCGTGCATCACCACCTGGGAAGGCTTCCACCAAAAGTGAAACGGCTGCGTGTAATTGAAAGTCATCAGAAAATAATAAACATAATCAATTAAGGTTAGTATATATTTGAAGAGGGAGGTAACTGGTGTGTCATCATGTGCACTCACGACAAGGCTATCCCTTATCTATCTATCTATCTTCTTCTTCTTCCTCCGTACCTCTCGTGGTGCTCCATATATGGTTCTTAATTTCACACCTACGGTACTAATTCTTATTCCCATAGTTCTGATACCAAATTGTACAAAAGGTGTGCTAAATGTTGCTGTATTATTGCCTATGTCAATTTTAATATCTTTCAATATCTAAAATTCCCCCCTTTATATGCCTTTTCCTTGGTGTGGTTGTTGTTGCATTTAACTCAAACCATTTCAAACATATACGTAGTTTCTCCTCCATCATCTGTAAATGGAAAGGGGAAGACTCTATTAATTCTTACTATAGTGTTGCCGATTCAAGTACACGTATAATAATAATAAAAAAAATATTCTGTTTCTGTATAAGAATGTTTGGAACAGCTATTTATAGTTAGGGGAAAACTATTTTTTTCTTATTCACTTTAAGACGATGGTGAAAAATGTTATTACATATTTTTCTCGAAATAAGTTAACCAAAGACTTCATCCAACTATTATATACATATATTATTCTTGAAGAAAGTTTATTATTTGTTTCATTCTCATAATAATGTCTCAATAATTCAAGTTGGTTCAAGTAGAAGAAACTTAATTTTATTTAAATAAAGAGGCGACGTATTCAGATTATTAATAGGTCTTAAAATACTTTATCCCTTTAAACGCGAGTTTACTTATTCAACCTATACACATAATTTTTTAAACATATCTTATAACTATTAATAATGGTATCGCTGCTAATATGCTTTATAGTGTGAATAATTTTAGGGAAATTTTGATAGATGATAGTGATGACGGAAACATGAGTTCCGGTGTTAATATAATAATAGTAAATAATGGATGAGTGGGAAGAATAAAAAGGATGCAGTATACATCAGTGACATATTTTGAGTGTTCGTGACGTAGTACGGTAACACCATGTCTAAACTTATTGCGCTACTTTTTCAAAGTGGTAAACCTAATGGAGAGGCAGTTGACAAAAATAAATGAAACAATAACATAAATGTTGGACCAACATTTAAATCGAAATAGCGATGGACATCAGGTACCAAACAAAAACAAGAATCTGAAGTGTTTATTTATTGATTGATCTCCCTAATGGTAGATCTGAGGGGCACGTAAGCATGCACATTCTCTCTTGTTTTTTTTTTTCTCCAGAATAACTAAAAAAGTTCAACGAATGAAGGAGTGAAGGAGATTGATGGTACATCAACTCAAAACATAAACCTGGGTGGATCCATGCGAGAACTTCGTTAGGTGGTGATGCCAAGTAGCAGCACTCTCCTCCTCCTCTTATTTAATCATCTCATGAAATAATGAAAACACATGTTTTTTTTTTCTCTTCCATGATGTTTTATTCAGTGCCCTGCAATATGGACATTTTATGTTATGGAATCTCGGTGGTCCCTACCCTGAAACCCATCTTCCAAGAGTTAATTTTTGTTTCTGGAGAAGATTCGTGGTGGTAATAATAATAAACAATTACAGAACGTAGTGGCAACGTTGTAACTGGTGAGATTAGTGTACTTAGGTATATGTTTGGTTAAATTAATCTAGTCGATGCTGGGATTCATTTGAAAGTTTGAAAAAAGAGAATAGGACAAGATGTCTGGAATTATGATTAAAACTGAAATGGGGTTTTGTGGTGAAAGGGAAGGGTGTAGGGACAAAGGGGGTCCTTTCCAACACAGATAAAGTCACAGGTTTTTTTGTCACAATGGGACCGAGTACACTCTCACATTAATTGGCCATTGTTGCTATTACTCTACATGCATTGCTGAGGTCCCCCCATTAGGGTTTATTTTGTTTGGTGATTGAGACGATGGAATAATAATGCATTGAAGTGATGATGATGATGATGATGAGTGATGCTTTGTATTTTGGCTGGAAAGTGAAAAAATAAAAGGAGGCAGCAAAGCAAAAAGGTGTGAGTGTGAAGCGCACTAGATGTGGTAATAAATTAGGGTTCACTTTTTAGGAGGCCCACAGGAGAAGGAGATACCTAGTTCAAAAACCCCATGATCTGATTTTAAACTGCGGTCCAATCATCTGATACTTAATCACAGACACGATCTCATTATATTCAGGCAGATGTAGATGGCAAAATCTCAAATTTAAGATTCTCTTTGGACCCTTTCTTCATTGCTCTGTCTTTTTCCTCCTATTACAACCTCGAACATGATTTTATCAGAATCCATTTCAGATTTCATTCAACTCGAAAGAAATAAATGTGAGTTCTTTCGTTTGTCCCTTCTTAACAATAATCTTTTCACATCTTTTTCCTTGGGAATGCCAAATACACAGTTACCTCCTCAACATATATAACTACTGCTTACAAGCAAATTTCTTCAAATTGCTTTCTATTTCAATCTTTCAAAAATCCTAACAAACAACTATACATTTTTTTTATCAATTTTAATTAAAGAGGTATGGATTTTTAAAACAACATACAATGGTTGAGTTAAAATTGAATGATGATCTACAACTAGACAGGATAGATAAATACTCTGATAGCAACACTGAGAGACACTAAAACAATCCAAGAGAATCTCCATAACCATATGTATTTTCTTCCCACACTCTCATGTTACCATTTCTAATTTTTGTTCTGAAAAAAAAAAAACAAAACAAAACAATGTACGATGTTCTTTTTAGTTATTGTTCCCATGTCATTTATCTTTGCCAAAATTTTGTTTTCTCTCCTTTCCATATCCTTCCATGCACCATTCTATCAAATCACTCGGTTATTTTTCTCTCCACATCTTTTTAAAACTCCTTTACCAAATAGATTTTCTTTTTATCCTCCACCTCTCCTATAAGGTTTCCCATCATCATATTACGATAATAACACTGTATATAAAACTAGGTTAATTTTTGAAAATTTTATCCCCACTTTCTGGCATTAAATATCATAAATTATCAAGATTAAATATACTGGTAAGGATTTCAGTCATTACATTTAATCTTAAATTATCAAGATTAAAATACACGCATATCTCCTATCAGTAGATACAATTACATAATTTATGGCGGCCATATTGTGTACACGACCTCAAGAAATCTAGATATATATTGGTACAGCTTCCAAGGATCATTGCCCAGCATATCTTCTGCTGCTGATCTCATTGGGGTTAATGGGAGGATGGTCAGCTGCATCTGTTCCCAGCATAACCTAGAGTGTTCAGCTAGTTGCATAGCTATCTGAGGTCCAAATACTAGAGCATTTGAAGCAGCCTGAAAAGAACACTATTCCCAAGTTATTTTGCATTAACTCAAGAAAGAAATCAAATATAAAGGAATAGAATTGTTCACATTTATATCAAACAATCTGCCACGTTGCAATTCAAGCTGAATTTCATAGCCATTTTGAATTATGTAAGGGTGCAAACTCCAAAACTTTTATCGCTTGAAAGTGTTTATTTGTGAAAATTGCTGCACAAAATCCTAAGGTTGAAGTCTGACACTGAAATAAGCAGCAATTACCGCAATCAATAACTTCATCAAAGTTTAAACAAATAATGTTGAGATGCAAGTAGTTCTAGAGAAGATATTGCAGCTTGCATTCTAGGAGGCAATGCATGTCAAGCCTAGGAACCTAACCAATCTCAGGTCCGGAATGCATAAAAGAATAAGTAGCAGAACAAAACAAAACACAGCAAAGACATAACGATAACATAGTCATTAATTTATTACAAAGGGATTAATAGCTACTTGAATAACAAATTGAAAGTGAATCAAACTAGTCTATCATATCACATTATTAATTGTTCCAAAAGCTTCAGCTACAAGAAAATGGATTCATGATATATACCAAGCTGATCTTGAGATCAGCAGTATCATTGCAAGAAGAATAGGAAGTTGATCGGTCTCTTTCTTTTGGGATTTGCAGAAACAGAATGAGGCTTTAAGCATTGTGAACTTAAGACATTAGCAGCCTTGTGTGGTTTAGTGGTCTCAACGGTCTGACCTTTATAGTTATTCTAGTTTTACAGTCTAGGTTAGAATGAGGATTTCAATTCTAGTGTAGTTTTAGTTTAATTCATTGTTCCAGTAGTCAATTAGGATCAATATACACATGTTTGCATCTTCTTATGTTCAATTTAACAAGTGCTGTATAGTAGATTAGGTGATTCAATTTTGCTGTCAAAAGTGCTGTCACGTAACACTGGTTTTTGCTGCCAACTTTGATTTGAATAGTGATTATGTGATTCTTGTGTTGTTAAGTGTTCATACACATTTCATCTGCATTATACTAGTGATTTTAGTAGTTTTCATGCATTCATATTACATATAACTCAAAATTTCATCTTAAACCATGAATATATAACTTAAAACTGCTTCTTAAACCATGAAGTGCATATGCTGTCAAAAGCTGACAAAACTGGACTTTGCTGCCAAATCTGTGTATGTTATTTTGAATATTCTTAGTCTTCAGTGAGTTTCACATTCACTTTTTAGTTAGTTTTAGGTATCTAGAAGTGTTCCATCATCCATACATGCATAATTAATTCACTATTTTAGTTCATTGTGACATTTCATCAAACACTTAGAGCATAATAGGTTTTGTTTTAGGCATTTTATCAAACAGTTTTCGTGTTGGATGTTCTGCATTGTTAAACTTCATAATAAGTTTAGCTATGTTTTTTTACACATTTTATGCATTCATATATAATTTCCATTCATTGGAACTCATTTTAGGAAGTAAAATCATAGAGTTCATGTGCATACACCATGCATTCTGGATCTGTTTTTTAGTCCTGACTTAAGAATAAATTCATGCATCATTTTAATAGCATTCTAGGACCATTTTAGAGTTGCTTAGTGATATGGTTCTTCTTGGAAGACGGTTGAATCCAGGCAAGTAGAAAGGACTCCGAACACAGGCGTATAGATTTGAGAGAGTAAGAAAATTCTGATTGAATGCATTGATATCCCATTACTACCAGAGTTGACTAATTCTGTCTTATAACAGAATTAACTACTCTTTACAAATTACTGTAACACTTAGAGTATTAGAGAGTAATTCCCCACCCCTGTATTTATAAAACAGATTTCACATACAAACAATCACTCATCACTTTGGTTGTTTATGCGGATTGATACCTTGGTTGATCTCTATACTTCATTAGGGGAAAAACTGAGTTTTTGCATAAATCTTACGCGACTAAAGGTTTATCAAATAGCGCTGTTGC